TTCCAAGTGCTACGAATGTGTTATTAAATCTTGGAAAGTTCTTTAGCACTTTCCACACCTGAAGGTGATCGTACCATAATTGTTCCTGGGATGATTGCAATTGCATGATTAATGTGCAACGCAATTATTGTGTCTGCTTCTTCCAGATCAGATGCCAGCTCATCCACACACCATACGTTCCAGTTGGACAACTTAAAACATTCATTTTTCTTTGAAAAATAAATGCAATTCCCTTTAGGAATAATATCCTTATGTTCGTTCCATACATCTAGTATGAGATCAGTCATACGATCTTTGTTTGACCCATTCGTCAAGAAGCTTGAAAAATTCCTTGGTATTTTAGTGTTTTCCGAATTTATGAAAAAAAGAGCATTTGTCCCATAGTCATTTTGTTTCCCACTTTTAATAGACTTCGTATGCATCAACAATCACATCTACGCGACTGTACTTCTTAGGCAATTGATTCAACAGCCTTATCCCCAGCTCCTTAAATGTGAGTACCGGTAATCGAATATGTGGCCATCAGATCGACTATGTATGCAGAAACCACTGATGCAATCCGGAGTAATAGATAATTGGAGTGTATTCCTCTACTACTTTCAAGAGCTTGCTCCTTACTGTAGTTCTTCGCGTCCCTTCAGCATTAGTCAAACTTAAAGGCACCCAGGGGGGAAAAGGCACCCAGGGGGAAAAAAGAGAGAAAAAGAAAAAAATGATAGCCCAGAATGCCTCAAATGTTATGTTCGGGCGTCTAGAACACAAACATTTCGCGGGGGCATGCCCCGGACCCCCTACGACAGTGTTGTCTCAATCGGCTCAACTTTAAGCCCCACCTTCCGCCCCGCCCCTTTTTTGGACATTTCTGGATCCGCCCCTGGCACCAGTGTATGACAGTATGTTAATGCCTTGTTGAAGTCGATACTTGAACCTTGACGGTTTGCGATAACGAGTAGCTTTCTTAACACTAAAAAAAGTAACAATTCTACCCTTAGCCAATACCTTCTTCTTTAAAGAATTCAATCAAGAATTCATTTTTTTCCAGCTTCAATAATGAGAAGAACGTGGCTGTAGAGGTTTTTTTTTATCTGTATTCTATCATCTTGTAGTATTTTGAGAACAGACTTCACCTTTTTCTCAGATCTGATAATCCGAGGGCCTACTATTCAGATTATATTCTATTTGAACTTTGACCCTTAACTTTTGAACGAACCCCATACCTGTCCAACTGTCATTCTTTCTCGAATCTATGACCTAAATTACATTGAAAACATTATTTTTGTAAAATAATGCACTTTTGACCTAAATATGCTGAATTTGAACTTTGACCCCTCATTTCTCGAAAAATACCCCTCCCTGGACCAATCAACAATCAAATTCGGATTCTACGCCCAAAAATATATCAAAAAATGTTTCTTTTTTCACATTTATCACACAGGCAACACCCTTTCCCAGATTATGTCTTATTTGACCTTTGACCCCAATAACTTTTGAACGACTCCATACCTGTCCAATTTACTGTCATTTTTGGAATCTATGACCTAAATTACATTAGAAAACATTATTTTGGTACACTAATTCACTTTTATGACCCCCTTCCTTAAATATGCCAGATTTGACCTTTGACCCCACATATCTCGAAAAAGCCCCCTCCCCGGACCGATCAACAATCAGATTCGTAATCTACGTCAAAAAATACATTAGAAAAAGTTGGTCTGGTAAATTCTGCAAAAAGTGACACCTACACCTCATATACGACCGGTCTATTAGCATATCCTTGGCCCTCGTGCCTAAAGAAATGAAATGAAATGAAAAAATGAAATGATCTGAGGACCATTGAAAGGAAAACGTCCCAGACCAAATATTTTGAAAACGGATCAACTGAATGAAACATTCGGAAAAAGTTTAACCGAGTTACAAGGAATATAGTATTATGTGTTGCCGACGAATTAGTCAAGGGTGTACATTGGAGGGTCATTTCAATTTTTCAGAGATTCCAGACGTAAATATCTATAAAAAGTTTTCAATGGGTGTAAATGCAACTTTCTATGATAGTTTGGATAAAGATCCAGTAAAGAAATGACTTAATTGTTGTGATGATCCGGCGTGGGGTATGAATATGAGGACCATGTAAAGGAACGTCCCTGACCAGATATTTCAAAAATAGGTTAACTGATCCGAATAAAACTTTCGTGAAAGTTTAACCCAAGTTACAAGGAAGATATTATGATATGTAGGGGACGATCCAGGGTACTGTGTAAATTTGAGGGTCTTTTAAATTGCTTACGTCCCAGTTATGGATAAAAATGACACTTTGCAGAATAGTTTTTCATGGTGAAATGAAGAAATGATCCAATTTTGTGACGATCGGCAGTAAGGTGTGGATATGAAGACCATTTAAAGATTTTTTGTTGACAATTGATTTAATTAATTAAACGCAATTTGCGTTTTTTGTAAAGCGCATAAACCAGTTACAGCTAGGTTAAACTCAAAACAACTGTGATATGCATGAACAATTTTGCTTTAAGTCAATGAATCGCTATGAACTGAAAATGCACTTTCCTGTGTAAGGTCAGCCCATATATTGCGCAATGATTGTGAGTCTCGATGCACTTCGTTCATTGCAACCATAGTTCAAGTCTCACTAATAACGTCGCAGTGAACTTGGTTTTCCACTTAATTAAATTTATATTGGTTTTCTTTTTTTTTTTACTTTATACCTTTTAACGAGTTTCCTTTAGCAGCAGCAGCAGCAGCAGCAGCAGCAGCAGTAGTAGTAGTAGTAGTAGTATTAATAAAACCTTATAAAACTAGAGCAGTCACTCCATGAGTGCATACCTCCGGTCTATTCTTCAATACCAAACAATACGTAGGCCGATGATTCAGGCACATTCAGCTTCTTGAGTGCAGTAGCATCCCTTTAAGAAAATAATTGAATCACTAAACCTATTCAGGCATATTTATTTTTTGAGTGCTACCCCTGCCAGTACCCGAATACGAGGGGCGATTCCATTATTTGTCTTTTGTGCTCGAAGGGTGAACATCGATTTTCCATGACCTTGTACCATTCCACTAAATGTTATGATGAGGCCATTAATTAGTTTTTGCGTAATCTTGCGACAGGGAGACAGCGATGAATACATAACCTCCTCTGAGGGAAGTAATAAATGATAAATTTATATTTCTAGGAATGCTGTTCTTCACGAGGCCCCTGGTATTGGTCAGGTGGGATCGATTGTGTGGCCTCTCATGGGCTGCCTGATCTTCGCTTGGGTCATCATCTACATCTGTTTACGAAGGGGCATCAAATCATCCGGAAAAGTAAGAATTCTTTTTTTTTTCTTTCTACACTACTGAATGGGTTTATCATTATTGACATGATAATACATTTGAAAATCATGTAATATCTAATAGGCCTACTTATTTATTTATTCATTATTATTTCGACATGCTTATATGGCGCAGTACGAAGCACAGTGCCTACTTGTTACTAAAATTACATTGCAAAACAAAAAAATAAAGTGTGATTAAAAAAAAAAAACAAAAAAAAAACTCTGAGAAAAGACACTCTTTAAGACGAGTTTGAATATAGAGGTGCATGCCGATTGCGCTTTTCTCAAATCAAAAAGTGCGTTCCAAGTGTATCTGGAGCAGCAAAAGAAAACACAAATCATCGCCTGCTTTCGTCTTCGATCCAGGAACAAAAAGCAGGATAAAATCATTAGAGGAACGGTGTCGACAACATTTTTTATTTTGTTGACTAACGATGACTGTGACTTCATCAGGTGAGTGATATGGTGCATTTGACAATCTCTCAATGTTTAATGTTATTAAAATGTTGATTCATAAACATTAATCTTAAAATCACAACAGAATTCCAGCTAACCATAACAATTGGATAATAATAACAGGAATAGTAATGATAATTTGTATGCATTCATATATATATATATATATAAGGAAAAATACATTTTAATAACTATTTTATTTAAAATAAATGTGATGTAATATCTTATAATAATAATGTAGTTGTATCCGTTCTGTCTAACTAAGCACTTATCAGATGAATTATCCACAGAATTATCTTTCGGATTAAATATGCTTTTACGTGACTTCCGTTAGGTGTGGTTGGATGCAGCTGTTCAAATCTTCTTTTCCCTGAGCACATCATGGGGTGGGTTGCTAACGTTGTCCTCCTACAACCGGTTCCGCAACAACTGCTGCTTGTGAGTATACCTGCTGATAAACAGTCGAATTTCTAATGATGATGATAATGACGATGATAAAGATGAGGATAATTATATCGAGGTTAATGAGGATAGTGATTATGATGATGAAGATGATGATATTGATAATAATAATGATGATAATAATAATAAATTAATAACATTAATAATATTAACAATAAAATTATCTATAATTAATTTTACATTGATGTCTATTTATATTATATGCTATTTATCATTGATAATTAAATTAAATTATTATTATTATTACTTATAGCGACGCAATGTTTATTGCCATTGCCAACTGCCTCACCAGTGTGCTCGCAGGATTTGTGATCTTCTCAATCATCGGATTCATGGCACATGAGTTGGGAAAAGAAGTCAGTGAAGTCGTAGACCAAGGTATAAGGCCACTGGTTATTAAGGTCTCAGATAACACCATGTGGAGGAAACTGATATATCGATGGATGGGTCTTTATTATTAAAGTTACTTTTTCTCATGGTCAAATCTACTCTCTAAAGATGATAAAACCATAACGGCAATCCTGCTCATTCTAGTGGAAATTGTGGTTAAGAAGATGCTTGCCTTCCAGTCCCAGGGTCTTGGATTACTTGTGACAGTACAGGATTTGTTTTTTCAGGACTAAAAACACATAACCCACTCTGGCTTCGTAATGAGATCTAAGGTGATAAAACATCACGATATTTCATCTATCTAAGAGGGTCTCCTCAAAATCAGCCGACCTTCTAGGACACGCTGTATGTCACCCTCTTTAAGTATGCTTTTTAAATAACTGACGACGCGCGTCTTAATCTTCGGTGGTGAACTTTTCTTATCATTTTACCCTATGTCTCTACCCCTCCTCCTACTACAAACCATAAAGAGGTCGGCTTTACCCACCAGACCAAGATTCCGAACTATAATAATTAAAAGTATGCAGATTAAAGCTATTCCTAAACTGAATAGGCCTAACTATGTCATTAAAGTTTTATGAAATTTTAGCCGCTAATTCAAAAGAATACATTATCACCTAATATGTGACCCAGATTCAGTATTCGTTGACTTTAAATTAATTCCTAATTTGTATTTATATTTTCATTAGGCTTTGGTCTTGCCTTCATTGCCTACCCTGAGGCCCTGACTAGGCTACCGGCTGCTCCTGTCTGGTCTGTCTTGTTCTTCTTCATGCTGCTGACTTTGGGCCTGGACACACAAGTAAGAAAAGCTGCTGTAAATGATACTCAATTTAATTCGTTAATCTTCAGGATAAATAACATTACATTGGTTTTTAATTTTTGATTTTTTTCTGTTTAAGTTCACCATCATGGAGACCATAGTCACCTTCATCACCGATGTATTCCCAGACCTGCGGGTGAAAAAACCAAAAGTTCTCCTGGCGAGCTGTTCTATTATGTTTCTTGCTTCGCTTATCTGTGTCACGGAGGTATTCTGAATACAATTTCGTATTGTAGAAAAGACTGTGGAAGTATGTAGTTAAGAAGGGATGGATTTAAGATCGTGTCCATGACCACATCGTAAAATGAAATTAGATTCTGGACTTGCATTAAACATTGAATCTATTATGTATGTATAGTGCATATTATTGTATAGCATCTTCATCCAGGATATTGGTAAACCTGGTTTGTGATGTAAGGCCCCATAAACAAAATTATTAGTTTATTATCCCCTCCCTCATCACTTTTGGAGAAATTCTGATTTTTTTTCTTTGAATTAACATACATTTTTATTTCAAACGATCGTTTTTTCCATCTTTTTTTATTTGAAAAGTTTGATTTCTTGCAAATATGTTGACTGGTAAAACAAAAACATCTTTTAAACATAAATTTAATTCCATCATTATGACTTTTTATATATTTTTTCCTTAACCATTAATTGCGAACATCGGTAAAATATGTGCTGGGTTAACAAAAAAGAAAAACAAAAACAAAAACTAAAACTAAAACTAAAACAAAAAAGCAAAAAGCAAAAACAAAAAGAAAAGAAAAAAAAATCCTCCCTCCTTCATCAGTTTTTATTCTTTGATAAAGTGATAAACTAATAATTTTTTTCATGGGGCCTAACCATGGTTAAATATTGATGTTTAAAAAATACGGTATTTTATTGAAATTAATACCGATAAGCCTTTAAATACTTTACGGTCGGTGGTTAATAATATGCTCCTCTTTCTTTTTCATGGTGTGTGTAGAGTTCTTTAAGCTAGTATTGTTCTCACAACCAAAAACAACATCCCCTCTTTCTCTCTCTATGCCTCGGAAAGACAATATGAGCACCATAGGTCCCGAAATTCTTGAATGCACCATCCATTTAAATACAATAGTAAACTGAATGCATAACACAGATCTTGTAACCTATATTAAACCCAGAAATGTGTGGTTATTTCTCTTTCTCAGGCTGGGGTGTTCTGGGTCAATTTGTTGGATTCATACTCAGCAAGCTTCGTCATTCTCACCTTCGCCACAATGGAGTGCATCGTCATATGTTGGGTGTATGGCTACGACCGATTCAAGGGAGACATCAGGATCATGATCGGCGAAAGAAGGGTCAACAGCATGTTCTTCAACTACTGGCGGGTCTGCTGGTGCTTCCTTACCCCTGTTGTCCTGACCGTTCGTATCACACAATATTATACTTACAGTTGGCTTAATGACAACGCAGGGACGTAGGCTAGTAACTGATTGGGGGTACCGAAATTCAAAATGCAGACTAAAATCTTACGCCAATCTTACGCCTCAGCCAACGCCCATGTACTGAACTCGTACAAACCTGTTGCCTGAATTATTTCTTTACTCCCCGTCAACAGCACATTAAATCCATCCTTTATGATTTACATTGGCTTACTGTTAAAGAAAAAAGTAAGCCTATATTCAAACTAGGGCCTACTTTTACTTGTTTTTAGGTCACTCTCATTTAAACAACCATCTTATTTTTTGGTGTTTCTTATGCCCTATGTTTTCTCACGTGCACTCGTGCAAACGCATAAACATAAACGTAAAGCATTATGGTCAACGTTCATTTCCTGTTCAGCTCTCTCCCCCACCTCTATCTCTTCTCTGAAACCTTACCCATTTTCGTAATAAACAGTCAGCAAATTTAAGTTCTATTTAAGAAGAATTTCTAAACTTCTTTCTAAAGCTTTTAACTTTGGTTTAATTTTCACTTGCGCCTTTGATAACTTGAATTGGCGCGGTAAAAATGTCTGAATTATCAATATTTATTCTTGCTTTAATATAGTTGAATAGGCCTACAGTATAATAATAAGATTGATCAAATAAGATACCGGTAAGTTTCTCTTTAAAGAGTAATTATTGACTACTGGAAGTCAAACACAGCACTTGCTAATTTTCAGTTTCAGGCCACTCAGATTGTTTGATGGTGTGTAAATAAATATAAAAAAATACTGGTTTTGCAGCATTCAAAATAATATTGATTGGTTAACATAAAATTAATTTAAATTTGCATTTCAGTGTTGTTATTTTAATAACTGACAAAATTTAATATTAACAGTTGGTACAGTTGTACAGCTTCGTCAACTGGGAGGCGCCATCTTACAATGGGGAATTTCCAGGCTGGGCGCACATCATCGGTTGGGCGATTACTGGTTCGACCTTCATCTTGACTCCTATCTTCATCTTGGTGGAGATCAAGAATGCATCGGGAACATTTCTTGAGGTAAACGTCGAATAATAGTTTTGAACTATTGTGTTAATTATTATTCTATAAAGTTCATATTATTATTATTCATAACCACCAGTATTATTAGCTTTGTTTATGTAGTCCCTTCAGTTTTTTACCATTTCAATGACAGATATTTTTTAGAGATCAAACACTTTATAATACTTCACTACAGGTTGTCTTATACTATTAAACATTCATATACTTCTGTGCTGTTTAGTATTCTATTTATCAAGTCTTCATTGATTCATCTCACAGCGCCTTCGATTCATCAGCCGTCCGACAGCAGAGTGGGGCCCAAGGAAGGAGAGGCATCGTAACTTGGTGCCATATCTGAAGAATGAGACATCCTCCTGCAGAGATGCTTCTGGAAAGTCACCGCCCCAAATGATAGATCTTATACACGAGATCTAAGGGGTAAGGCGTCGTCCCGGGGGTGAGGTGATAAAGCCCCAGGGACATAAGTAGGTATGTCACGTGAAAAGTCAGATGTATTGCCAAAGTTTTTTGACATAATGCCAATGAAAAAAGATGCCTTAAAGTCACATGTCAATCAATCATAACATTCTATAAAGTTCAGTAGGCCTCCCAACTCCTTTACGTGATCAAAATTATGATGTTAATTGGCCGAAACTTTCATTTCCAAAAAAAAAAAAATATATATATATAATAATAATAATAAATTGTCTTAGAATTTTGTTCTAAATTACAAATCATATTGTTCTATAATTTCAGGATTTGTCTTTAAATACGAAGTATCAAATTAACAAGTTGCTGCTTAAAAATCAAAATACGAACAAAAATGTCGAAAGAGCAACTTGAATACAAGAAAACGACAACTGTCTAAAATGCTGGGTAAAAGAAATGGACAAAATGTCAATGAAGATCGCATGAAAATTCAAACTGAAACGACAATTGATAAAATTCTGAAGGAATTCACAAAAACAGCAATGAGAAAAAATGCTAATTAAGACGGCAATAGAATTATCAATGAAGAAACATTCCATTTAACGGCAATGGACAAAATTCTGGCGAAATTGGCAATGGACATAATTGCTGAAGAAAAACCTATGGATTAAAATGCAAAGTAAACGACAATAGATAAAACACTGATAAAAATTCAAGGACAAAAAAAAAATGGCACTGGTCATATGCTTATAAAAACGCTGTAGACTAAAAATGCAGTGCACATGGCAAGAGATAAAAGGCAGATGAAAATTACAAGACAAAACAATGCCAATTTAACGGCAATGAACACACATGCATTTTAAAATGTCATGAGCAACAATGCCAGTGTAAACGACAATACACGAAAATGCCGATATAACGACAATGGACTAAAATGCCTGTAACAAGAGGAAATGGCAAAAGTACCAGCAAAATGTCAACGAAAAAAAAATGCCGCTGAAAACAGCAATGGACAACATTTTGGCAAAATTGGCAATGGACAAACTGCTGATTAAAAATCTTGACTAAAATACATTGAAACGCGGCAATAGCCAAAAACGCCGTTATAAACGGCAATGGACTAAATGCTTGTGAAAGCAGCAATGGACAAAAATGCACTAGGAGATGCCGGATGAATGGTAATGGATACAATCCGGCGAAATTCAAAATTGACAAAATGCTGATAAAACCTTATTATTATTATGCAGTGAAAACGGCAATGTGCCAGATGGCGGAAAAATACAATGGGCAAAAATGCTGTTTAAGAAATTAATGGACAAAATGGTGGCCAAGACACCAATGGACAAAATGCCGTTCAAGACTGCAATGGACAAATAATGCCGGTGAAAAGGGCAATGGACAAGACATGAAATTATTATAATTGCATAAGGTAAAACAATAATTTTTTTTATAATGACGACAGTGCTCTTTTATATTCTTTCTACTATTTGTGTTGAAAATGAAACAACAATAGAACAACAACATTCAACAACAGAATTCGTAGTACTAGCAGTAGGACTTCAAATTTTATTGTGTTGTATTTCAGCTTGCATGCTCATAACATTGTTGCACCATTTTATAGAGTCACTTGTAATTTTGGCATTCCACCATGTTATGTATATTTTATATATTATTGGGGAAAATGTATTTGGTATAGTCCTAATGATATAGCAGCAATAGTTTAATGAATTATGCTAAAAGATGAGCATGCAACGTGTTTAAGTATTAAAGTGATGGAGATAAATTCATAATACAGTAATTGTAAGGGGTTTTTTTTGTTTTAAATTTCAGACTTGGTATCAAGATGGATGCCATTCGGACCACACCACTATACGGTGACTAGGACTTAACTCCTGGAAATGAACTAGACTACATTCAACACTTGAATGAAGAACATTCTTATGAATCAAAGATATTGGAAACACTCTGTTACGCAATCACTAGAATAAAGTAGGCTCTGATGAAGAAATTGTGCTGTTTTGGTTGAGATGCCACTCTCTCAATCAACAACAGCTTCACTACACACGAGGCATAAGGAGAAATAAGAGTAGAATATATTCTGTTAATCAATTTGTACACTCGATTTACAGTATTTACAGAAAAATAATTACCAAATGTAAAATTGTAAAAAAAAAAAAAAAAAAAAAAATTGATAAAAAAAAGATTAAAATAAATACCTGGGAAAATATGTATTGCGCCTGTAGAAAAATGATTTTGTCACCGGTGCCTAAAGATATAAATATTAATTATTTTTAAAGACAAAAAAAAAACGTAGTCTATACTTGTAATGTTTTAAATGGTTGGCCAGGAGATGTCTATGTATTATGGAATATAGAAAGTCAGTCATTGTACATTTGTTATACAGTATTTTTAGAAGAGTATGTTTAAAATAAAACATACAATAGCCGAAACAAATCAAGAAAAAAAAAAAAAAAAAAAAGGGGGATAAAAGGTATTGTTAGAAGCCAATCCAGTTTCTGGTGTAGATACTTCCAATTATTATTATTATTATACTTTAATTGTTTAAAATGTTTGTAATCAACAAAACGTCTCTATGAAATCGTAATGAACATTTCTTATACATGTAATACGAGTGTATAAATTGACATGTAATCAAATACTATTTATATATTATACCATTTTTATCGCATAAATTGTGAAAGAATAAATGAAATGAAATAAAATGCTGTGTGTATTCTATATTTATTTATAAGCTGTAAGTGTTACTTTAGAACTACATAATATCTAATCTGTTATCTATTATTAATATTGTTATTATTATCATCATCATCATAATCATCAACATTATCATCATCATCATTATCATTATTCGACTGCTGCAGATTCATCTATCCATGTTGACAATTTTAAATATAAATTAAAACTTTATATCTCTGGATAAAGCAGAAAACGTAAATTCCTTTGCTTTCTCATCATTATATCCTGAATAATCTGTAATATATATTTGTAGGTTTTGTTTATGTAGCAGTTTATAAATTCTTAGTAAACCTACACCTTTTCTTGTTTCATTATTGTCTATTTCTATTCTATGTCCATTGGCCTCTTGGGAACGCTCCCACCCCAGTAAACCCCAATAAGAATGTCTGAAGCAAAACATTATTATCACGCCCAAGTAATTATTAATTTCACTCACTTAATCGTCGAACCGTACTCCCCCCTTCGTCCACACAATTTTTAGAATCCTAGATACGCCACTGTCTTTCGCCCGGAATTACAAAGTAAACCATCGTCACTAATACCGATACAGCTTTCCAAACCATGATCAACCAAACAGCAACCGAGGGATATTGGATCGAAATCCTGATTGGGATTATACCATTTTAAAAGCTAATATTTATTATTTGTTATGTATTACTGATGAAGGTTTTTGTCCGCACCGTACTAAAGACATACTTGATATGTTCTTGTGCAAGGCTCTTTAAATTTAATATTGTACACACAATAGTTCTGTTCAGTAACATATTAACACTTTAGATGTGAAAGTTGGTAACATGCGAGAACACGTAGGTAAACTAATTGGGAATACTGTTTACATAGGTGGCATATGACAACACAAAGGTGACATGAGAACACATAGGTGGCATATGAGAACACACACGTCACATGGGAGCACGTAGGTGGCATATAAGACAGGGACGTAGCCAGGATGTTGAAAGGGGGGAGCCGTTATACGAATTACGTATGACCCCGGCGGGGTCAAGGGGGCGAACCCCCCCTGTGAAGTAGCGCACTCTGAACGTTCTTAGGACTGTTTGAGAAATCAACAGTGGCAGATCCAGGAATTGGAAAGAGAGGTGAACCAGGGAGAGACTTTCACAGACCGAGGAACCACCCACCATGGTTGGGGCCGAGGTAAGAAAATTTATGATTAGGGCAATTCTAGATGGCCGGAAATTAAAATCTCGCACTTCAATTTGAATATATTTTTCTTTTTTTTTCCCTTAAAGAAATGAAGACGGGCGGGGGGCCCCTTGAATCCACTTCTGCTCAAAACATTCTTTATCCAGAATAGTCATAATCACGAAAAATGGACATGAAAAACCAGATCACATCCTAAAAACAATCAGCAGTCACTAAGACATACATCAGGAGCCGACTCGATGGAGTTTAATGTCATACCCAGGGAAGGGCACAGATCTGTTTTGAAAGGTGGAGGGGGAGGGCATTTTGTGAGTTGACACCCACCTCAGCCCCACAATGGTTGGAGCTGAGGTGAACAAATTTGAGGAAATACCGGTAGTACCTCTAGATGGCCAGAAATGACACTTTTAGTAAAATTCATCATCATCACATCACCATTAGTCAAAATGAAGCGCCAAAAAAAGTCTCATGATCTTTTATCAGGGATTTTTGACAACCATAGAGATCTTATAGTTACATGTTTAGAAGCATACATTTTGAGTGATCCCAGGAAAGAATTTGTATTGGCTCAAGAATAAGCTTTAAAATTTTAACACTGTGTACAAAGGGGGGGGGGGGGAGGAGCTCCCACGTCCCTGATATAAGAACACGTAGGTGGCATATGAGAACACATAGGTGGCATATGAGAACACATACGTGGCATATGAGAACACATGTGGAAATAGGTGACATGAGAAAACAGCTGGCATAAGAGCACATAGGTGGTATATGGGAATACATACGTGGCATATGAGAACACATGTTGAAATAGGTGACATATGAGAACACAGTTGGCATAAGAACACATGTGGTATATGGGAATACATACGTGGCATATGAGAACAAATGTTGAAATAGGTGACATATGAGAACACAGTGGCATAAGAACACATAGGTGGTATATGGGAATACATACGTGGCATATGAGAACACATGTTGAAATAGGTGACATATGAGAACACAGTTGGCATAAGAACACATGTGGTATATGGGAATACATACGTGCCATATGAGAACACATGTTGAAATAGGTGACATGAGAACACAGTGGCATAAGAACACATAGGTGGTATATGGGAATACATACGGGGCATATGAGAACACATGTTGAAATAGGTGACATATGAGAACACAGTGGCATAAGAACACATAGGTGGTATATGGGAATACATACGTGGCATATTAGAACACATAGGTGGCAATACATTGTAACAGTTAAGAACACAGAGTAGGTAACAACATATGTTAACAAAGCAAACATATAGGGAATGTGTTTTATTCTGAGAATACATAGAAAATGTGAGAACACATAAGTAACGCATAGCCACAAATGGACATGATGTGTAATATGAATGTATAGCTGGTTTTCATAAAATAGCTACAGGCTATCCCAGGTTTCAGAAATGCTGATTGGTCATTCGTTTGCGTTCATAACACCTACGCTATGCAGCAATTGGATGGAAACCAAACCTAACAATAAAATACATATAAGATTTTTGGTCAACAAATTTAAGAAAGGGATCTTTATTTTTCTACATTTTGCACTTGAATGTTGTGTAAATTTTTTGTCTGATGTAAGGTATCACCTGCCTAAATTCATTACAAAATATTGATTATGGGTTATTCTTATTCCGTCTGATAAATACCCTTTGAAAACAAATAGTGAGACAGGCTTAATAGCAAGCATTGCGATTTAATCTGTTAACTTTAGTGTTAGGAGAAAAAAAATATTTTGCGCCTGCCACCCCCCACCCCCTATACAATTTTCAGCATTAAAGGCAAACAAAAAAATTTTTTTAGGCCTTATCGTAATAAAATGCAGGACTAATAATACATACTTAACACTCAATTTCAGTTATTACATACGGAAAAATTTATTGTGTTATTTCCTCATTGAAACCTTTAATTTAAAGGACTAGAATGTTTACATTTAGCTGAGATAAAGTCAAATGCATATTTAGGGGCTATATTTGACAAACCTTATGGTAATGTCAAACATTGTATATCTACTAAAATACAAAAATGATGTATTGAATTCACTGATCATGAAATAACAGGCGAAAAAAACTGATTTTAAAAACCATCTATTCATTTTTGCAAAGATGTACAAAATGAAAGTTTTTTTTTTACTCTAAATACATCATCAACTGAAATATACAGATTTGTATAGCTATGCCACAGTTTTTAACTGTTAAATCACAGAACAATTCTTATTCAACCCATAACGAAAATATATTTGATTACTGTTCATTATATTGATTG